CGCGGATACCCAAGCACCCACATACAGGCATTTGCGCGCGCGCGTACACACACACACACACACACACACACACACACACACACAGACTCAATCGCCTTTTTTTTTTAAATGAGATAATAAGAAACTAAACGATCTACCCCTACCTCGCCAACCCAAACATACATCGTCTTTCCAGCATATATACCAGATGCGCAGAAAACTGAACACCTAGAAGGGGCTAGGCCGTTCCGCACGTTCCTTCCAAATTAACCCAGTTTCAGTTCTGGGGAAGCAAAAAGCAAAAACTCGAGTGCTTTCAACTTGCCGGCGGGTTCCCCGGGTCTGTGGGATAAGCTGAAGAGCCTGCGTCCCCCATTCCCAGGGCAGTGATCGCACCCGGACAGACCGCGGCCGGAGGGGATAAAGGTGTCTGACGCTACAAATAAGGTCACTGGCGATCCGCGAGAGGCGCCACGACCGCTGCGCGCAGGAGGCCCCGCCGCCGGGTCGCGGGAAGCGCGGGGCTCGGGAAACTTTGCAGAAGCCAGAGCTGGAACGCTTTCGGAAGAAAGCGCGAGCGCCAAGCTCGGTAGAGCCCCAGGCTTCCGCTTATCCCCCGTTCAGGACAGGGTGCCGGAGTGGGATGAGGAGGAATGGGTCCACAGATCTCCCCCCCCCCTCCAATCCTGGCGTTGGCTCCCGTAAATCCCCTCGGGACACCTTGAGCTGGCCTCGCTGGCTGATGCTGATAAACTTTGTCCTTTCGTCGCAAACTTGAGTAGCCTAGCTGTCTGCACGGGTCACGGCCGCGGGGCAGGCTGTCCCGCCGCTCCCCGCCTCCCCTTCACTGATCCTCCTCTCCTCGGCCCCCTTCTCCGGAGTCGGGGGCACCGCTCATGCCTGCATCCCCACACTCGCCAGCCTCGCGCTCCCGGGAACCGTTCACCCGCAGATCGTCCCCTTTCTGTCCCCGGTCGCAGAAAGGCAGCCTATCTCTTACCTTCATTCGCGGGGTACACCCTGGAACCGGTGACAGCGTCGCAAATCCCAAAGAGAAACGAAAAGAGGACGAAATAGAAAATCCCAGCCATGGTTCGCTGGTGCCAACCCTGCTCCTGCCGCTTCTATCCCAGTGGAATAAATGCTTAAGTTAGGAGTGCAGCAGGCTGAAGACATTGCCAAGGGGGTGGGCCCGGCCCGTGACGTGCGCCCGCCAGTCCAGGACCCGTGACCAATGGTGGCAGAGCTGGGACGACCCGGCCCCGCCCCTACTAAGCAGAGGCCCCGCCCCCCGGGGCTCCGCGGGGCGCGCGGTCTCCGGAGGCTCCAGCCGACTGGCTGTGCCGGGTCCCTGCCCTCGCCGGAGCGGGGCGGTGGGGTCCCCGGAAGTCACCGCAGGGTTTCAGTCCCTGGGCGGCGGAAGAATGTGGGTTTAAGTTGGTGGAGGGGGTGGTAGCTCGAGGAAAGGTTTGCAACTCCACTTCACCCCACGGGAGGTTGGAGGTGGAGGAAAAGGCTCTTTCACTGCCATCAAATAAGTATAAAGTTGGCCAGCCTCTTTGCTATTGCTGCTTTCTGACCGCCCAAGTGTGCGCGTCCCGCGCGCCCGGGCTGGCGCTGTGCACACAACTCCTGCGCACCGCCAGGGCGAGCCTCTGCTGCCGTGCCCTGTTTGGGGCCTGTCTGCCACATCTCCTTAGGAAATGTTCAGTGGGTGGGGGCGGGAGGGCCGGTGGCCCCCCTCATCCGTTCACCCCAGGCGTCCCAGCGGCGCGGAGAGCGGGACCTATCTGTCCCTGACGTCGGATTCTGCGCCTGGCCTGAAGCGGGGCTCGGTCACAGTCTGCACAGAGAAAGAACCAAAACCTGCCAGTGGGAGGGGTCCCCTCCGCCCGGTCTCACCGCTCAGGCCCTGAGTCTCGTCCCAACAAGCACAAGGGTCCCCACCGCGCACGACGCCCCGAGATGGCCTTGGCCGCAGAGAACCAACTGTGTGTTTCCCGAGGGGAGTCGCTGGAACACAGCCCAGCAGCTACCCGGCGCAGGAAGATAGCAGCGAAGACCTTAAGAGGGGGTGCGGGGCTCGGCGGCTGCCTACACCACGCGACTGGGGGCCCGGGAGCTGCCCGAAGTGAGGCTGCCTCAGCCCCGCTCCATCTGCTTCCCGGAGCGGGTGCCCACGACCTTTGCGGCGCTCGCGGCGGGGGCGGGCAGCGGAAACCTCAACATCGGTGCAGCTGCCCCAGTCACAGTGAGGTGGGTGGCTCGCCGGCCTCTTGGGGGGCACAAGAACTCCTCGGCGTAGTCTGTCCCCCAATATCCCGGCCGAGGGCGCAGACACCTGAGAACCTTCCGGAGACCATAAGGTAGCCGCGGCCCGGCGACCTGTGCACTTCTCCAAACGTTTGAGGGTTCCCCATTCCAAACGAGGGCGTCCTCTTTCCCTTACCCTCCTCTTCGTTCTGGGTAGGGCCGGGTTTTCCTCCAGAGTCTGGGTCTCAGGGGGAGGGCGACAGCGCGAGGTGGAAGCGCTTTACCGCGCCAGCCGCGGCTCATCGTGAACCAATCGCGCCACCTGCCGGCCAGAAGTGGGAGTGCTCGGCTCCTGCGAAGGACCAGGGGACAAAAGACCGCAACGCGCAACCCGCAGAGAGGAGGTGGCGCGGGGTGGTGGTGGTGGGGGGGGGCATCTTTCTACCCCGCCGCCCTAGGCCAGTACCTTCAGCCCACCCCTCGCGGCCAAGACAAATGGCGGTGGAGAGGACCTAGAGTCCTATGTTGCTTCTAGCCGACTGGATTATGTAAAGGGTATAGGAAAGTGTTTCAAGGAGAAACTCAGAGACGATCGATATCCCAGGGATGGCCTAAGTAGCTGGCGTCCCTTTAAACGGAATCCTAGGTATAGGGGAGAGCCGTAGGGCAGTGTGGAGGAGAAAGCAGATCGAGAGTCACCGGCCACGGTGTCAGGTCACTGGCTTCGATAGCCCATCGCGCGACCATCCCCCACCCCCCGCCCCCAGGGCTCCAGACCTGCTTCTGAATAAATTCAGCCCCCGCCTTCCAGAAGGGCAACTTTTGCGGAGCGCGCTGGCGAGGCGCTGGTCGGTGACCCGGAGGGCCAGCTTGCGAGGCTCCAGGCGTTTTGCTGAAATGTCACCGTCTGTGTTTGGAAGGGGGTTTCAGTTATTGCAGCAACTGATTTTACACGAGGGGGGGGGGAGGTTGATACGTGTGTATATAAATTATTTAAATTAACTGCACGAAGTCCCTTGAAGGAATGTATTTCTAGGTTCTTTCATGTGTCCTTCCCAGTACTTGGCACTCAGACTCAGAAGAGAAAAAGAGCAATGTGAATTTTTTTAAAACGTTTTTAAACAATAGTTCCTGGTTAGCCCTCTACACGAGCTGGAGTTTGGCATGTATATGTGTGGTTGAAATGGGAAATTGACTGCCTGCATTCTTTAAAAACAGTAAAATTCCTACAACGTGTATCTACCCCCACCCCCAATATGCATACTGAATATTAAGCACAGTCTTTCCAGCCACAGCTGCCTCAAAGTCAGGCTTCATTTGCCAAGGTGCATTCAGCAAATTTCCCTTTTTTTTTTTCTTTCCACTTTTCTTTTTTGGGCTCAAAGCTCCCCAAGAATCTGGAGATCTGAGAGGCAGGCAATGCTAAGTTGGCAAATCTAAACTGTAACTTCCTCTTTTAAGCATTTCTGGACTGAGGAGCAAAAATGTGCTGCTGAGAATTCTTCTATCTGTTGTGACTACCTAGGAAAAAGGATTCTAATCTAATAGACATCATTCTGCTTCCAAATTGGACAAACATACAAAAATGAGGGTTGTACATCATGGGTGCTAACCACTCCCCTCACTCACACACACTTTGTTGGGAAATACCCTGATTGATTCAGATCTTTGAGTATTTTTATGACAAATCAAATGATCCAATGGAGCCTGAACCATACAGTAAATGTCAGATTTTCAAAGAGTACCTACTTTCTAAGTAAATTGCTTGACTTTGGGGTAAAACAAGCCTCCCAACTGCTATAAGAATTCAGGGATATATTGAAGCCATTAAGAGACATGTCAAAATACATATGTTTATAAGCCTAATGAAAATAGTCATTAAATCATGCAAAAACTTGGCTGAAGTTTTTCATATAGTGTCCACCACAAACACTTGAAATACAAAATACATTTTGAATATTAAATTGAATGAAGATTGAATTTGAAAGGTATTCCTAATTTGTAAAGACTTAAAAAAAAGATTATGCATACAGAACTGGGGTACAGGCCAGAGGTGCAAGGGCATTGAGAGGCTTCACCAGAGACAGAGTGGGGAGCAGAACAGGCAGATGGATGAAGTACACTGCTGAGGGGAGCAGCCTGGGTGAGGGAAGAGGTCTGCTGTGCCATGTGCTTCACCTCCTGGCCTCCAGGCCTGAGGTGGGGGATTGGAGCTGAAGGGTGTGGCTAGCTTCATAGCGCTGCACTTTAACCCATTGCGCCACCAGGGTAAAGCTATGTTTAACTAGCACCACGTATCCATAAATTTCTGTCTCTACGTGTAGGGTCAGTTTCTCCATAGTGATGAGGAAAGGTCCTCTGAGTAGCAGACAAAAAGGCAGCAATAAAGAGAATGTTTCGAAGACTAAAATGAAGGTAATTAGGATGGTATGAATTCACTCCTCCTTTACAAGATATTTGGTCAGAATTTTTACCTGGTGCAGCTGAACTTCCCTGAAGCTCTGTCTTTGTATCAGTGTGTGCTCCACTGACAGTCTCACATTACCAGTACTCCAATTTTCAATGCAGACACCCTGGCTTAACGGTCCAACTGGTTACTAGCTGTGTGTGAGTTAGGAAACTAAGTTCTCTGAGGTAGTTTCTTCATCTGTGAGTTGTCCATAGTTATGTGATGTGATTCTTCTAATAAAAGGGTGAATTTTTATGTAATAAATGCTATAGTATCTGGCATGAGGCAAGTAGTTATTATTACTCAAAAATATTTCACTAGGGATGATTTAATAAATAAGAATTTAATATCATTAAACAGGAACTCAGTTGTTCAGCTTCTATCTCCCCTCTCATGAGGAGACCAGGCACTACATCTTCCCTTTTGGCTCTCTGAGAGAAAGTTTTATTTCACCAACTCCTAGAGGACAAGGGAAAATGAACTCTGACTCCTCCAGCTTATACTCAACTCATTTTCCTAAATGATTCAACTGGATTTGAATGCAAGGACTGTAACTGTGTCAAATACAATAGTCTCCAAAACACAATAAGGTGGAATAAGGTGTAAGGAACTATCAACTCCAAATACTGATGATCACGAATAAGCAACATCCTGCCTTCTGGCGGGGAAAGCCCTCCAGCCCTCAGCTCCACCCAAAGAGAAGCAAACTGAAAGGACTTGGGTGGTTCTCAGCTCTGGGAACCCCTCCTGGAGATTTCAACCTTTGATGCTTTTTTAGAGATTTATTTATTTATGCATACAGAACTGGGGTGCAGGCCTGAGGTGTGTGTGTGTGTGTGTGTGTGTGTGTGTGTGTGTGTGCGTGTGTGTATGTGTGTGTGTGAGGAGGGTGGGGATTCACCAGAGACAGAGTGGGGAGCAGAGCAGGCAGACTGAGAAGTACACTGCTGAGTGCAGCAGCAAGAGACAAGACAGGTCTGCTGTGCCATGTGGGTCACCTCCCCAGACCTATGGAACTCCCAGGAAGTGGCTTCTGGATAGCTTGCAGTGCTGTTCTTTAACCCTTGCACCACCAGGAAGGGCCCAATTCTGATGCTCTTTCTTATGCGAATTAGAAGCTGGGATCCGTGGCTCTTGGCTCCTGAGTGGAAGCAGGTCTGATGGCTCAGGTCTGGATAAGTCTGAAAAGGAGAATAGACAGAAAGGGCCTTTGGAGTCACGGAGATAGAAAAGGCCAGGCAGGAAAGCAGGGGTTTTCCAGAGGCAAGGCTTTCCTGCAAACTTGATGCCAAGCCTGAATTTCAGCTCCATACTAATAGATGTTTCCTTAGTGAAGACATTCTACCAGACCCCAGGAGTTCGATGCAGCAAAGATTTCTTGGTCACCCTGACCACGAGTGTCACCCATCACGTGGCATGTGGAAGACCTAAGAGGAACCACAGCC